CTCGTTACTGGTTATTGGCCTATTCAGGTTGTCAATTTCTTCCTGTTTCAGTCTTGGCAGTTTGTAAGTTTCCAGGAAGGCATCCATTTCATCCCGATTGCTCAGCTTATTGGCATGTAGTTGTTGATAATAATTTCTAAGAATTGTTTCTATTTCCTTGGTGTTAGTCGTGATCTCTCCCCTTTCATTCATAATTTTATTAATTTGGGTCCTTTCTCTTTTCTTTTGGATAAGTCTGGCCAGTGGTTTATCGATCTTATTAATTCTTTCAAATAGCCAGCTTCTAGTTTTGTTGATCTGATCTACTGTGTTCCTGGTTTCTAATTCATTGATCTCTGCTCTAATCTTAATTATTTCTCATCTAATGTGTAGCTTAGGCATCGAATAAAAAGCAATTTTTATGGTCAATATAATATATGGGCTGTGGCATTCATGATTCAGTAACTATACAAGAGTTGATGGTCATTTTACAGAAATTAACAGTTCAGAAAAGCATAGCATATAAGTAAGAAAATATGGTGCATGAGCAGATGATTCTGGGGCATGAGAATCAGCTGTGATATGAATAGTAACTATGATATATGCTTGAACATCCAAAGTTCTTTAGTATACCCTAAATGTTGTATGATTACACGACAAATGCTAATAGTCAAATAATCATCATACAAAATTGACAATTACTCTACAGGAACAAAGAGACTTGGTATAGGATATTAAGTCCAAATTGCAAAAAATAATCCATGGAATATGAGACAGAACTATGACAGATGCTCAGAAAACATAAGTATATGAGCAACAATCCTGGGTATAGGACTTCTCCTATTCTCATAGCTATGCTGCACGAGCAAAGAGACCCATAGTGTGTGTTCAACTACACTATCCTACTATATACTATGGGTTATGATTATGGTAAAAAAGCATCAATTGTTCTCACAGTAAGAATAGATGCCAATGCTACAGAAGCAAATGTTCATGATTTGGAAGGAGAAAACTATGATACATGATGCATAAAAAGACAACAATGTTATATATACTCAGACTAAGGTACATGTTCACCTAACTATGAGAAGACAGCCATCACATATAGAGGAAGTTGGACATAATATGTGTCCTCCAAATACCATAACTCTTTGTTTTTGGGGGGGTTTTAAAAAAGATTTTATTTATTTATTTGAAAGAGAGAGAGAGCACAAGCAGGCAGAGCGGCAGGCAGAGGGAGAGCGAGAGGGAGAAGTAGGCTCTCCGTTGAGCAAAAAGCCTGATGTGGGGATCCATCCCAGAACCCTGGGATCATGACCTGAGCTGAAGGCAGACACTTAACTGACTGAGCCACCCAGGCACCCCTATAACATTTTGTTAACAAACATCATTATTATAATGCATGTGAAGACATTTATGTATAAAACGATTTGACCACACTATATGTCAGAAAACCGTAACACATGAGCCTAATAATCACTGAACAAGACAACAGGGCCTTGGTAAACACTTCCTTAAAACATTATATATGATCAAGGGGCACCTGGTGGCTCAGTCGGTTAAGTGTCTGCCTTTGGCTCAGGTCGTGATCTCAGGGTCCTGGGATCGAGCCCTACATCGGGCCCTCTGCTCAGTAGCCTGCTTCTCCCTCTTCCTCTGCCTGCCACTCCCCCTGCTTGTACTCCCTCTCTCTGTATCAAATAAATAAATAAAGTCTTAAAAGAAGACATTAT